TTAGTAATCTACTTTGAATACTTCGGCTTAGACAATTTAATTTTTTTTTCATAGAATAACAGGGCCAGAGCGGAAAGCAAATAAATAAAAAGACGTCTTGCGTAATATTATATGCAGGATTTTAAACATTACATTATACAGAAAGTTCACATAGACAGTTCTAGATTGCAAGTACGAGTCATGCAGTATTACAGGAGCGGTAGAACTAAACAGTGCACCAAGGACTGACAAATGTTAGCATCAAAGGAAATCCCCAAAGCAAAGGCCCAACAAGACAAAGGCTCCACTTTGGAGACTTTAACAAACAGGCCATCACAAGCCTACAGTTGACCTAGGCTTTAACCTCTGAGTATCACCTATAATGTATAAATGCGAAGTAGTAAGGCCTTAGGCGGTAATAATAATATAGAGGTTCAATGGTGAATGACCACGTTTTGGAGAATAATAGATATAACATCATATACATGTCTTATTCTAATCATATGCAGGCCGCTTGGGCCCGGGTAAAACAGAACAGCTGGCCCAACGCATATATGATGGCTTAGGCCCAACACTAATTTACAAGAACGCTTAGGCCAACATAATCATAACGGCTCAAGGCCCAAGCATGTCAACAGCAGGTGTTAAGAATCGCGATCCGGATGGTAGGATCGATACATCTATGGACTCATATAACTACACTATCGATCCGGATTCGTACACGGATCGACCCCAGAGCAGGATCGTAGGTGGATCGCGTGGTGGACGACCAGATCGGAGGACGCAATCGTGGAATCGCGACTCCATCGATCAGATTTGAAGCATTTATTGGCAACTTAAAGCCAAATCGGGACCTAAGTGAGAGAGAGAGAAGCCGAGCAATCTAGGGTAATACGAAGAAGACTGACACCTGGGGAAGGAGAGATTCAGATTCAACATACAACGAGCTGTCCTCTTCCTCGGTACACTGCTTCCTATTGTCTTCTTCTCCCTCCCTTCTTCACGCGCATTCGACTCGACTCCCATGTGTCTGCTACTCTGTTTGGTTTATTCTCTTCGAATTCGGACTCTTCTTTCGTTAATCTTCACTGATCTATCCTTTCTTCACTGATCTCCTTCGGTGATTTTTTTTTTTTGGCCTGATTTATTATTTATTATTTTTGAGTTCTGATTTTATTATTTACTTATTTTTGGCTTCTGTAAATTACCCTTATTTATTATTTTTGTTTGTAAAAAAACTACTAAAACACATGAAATCATTCTTCAATCAATAAAGAAATATTCATATTAGGTGACATCAAAACATTTGATCATCGATTGAGACCTAGCTGTGTAATGCATCTTTTAGATGACCAAGTATTTCCTATTTACTACTTTAATTTATTATTTACATTTATTGGAATCAGCCTCTTATTTATTATTTATTCCTTCACTAGATCACATTCATTCGGGCATTAGTCTTCCACATGCACATGCTAAAATTATTAATATAACAATTATATTAACATTTAGGAATTACGATAAGATAAATTAAGAATTTAGGATTGAATTGTGATGATTTAAATCATATATTTAATTAAAAATTAGAGTTAAGAGTAGAGATTACAACAACAATAAGCAAATACTTATAGTGATTAATTTGATCTAAAGTTATTAATCTAAATAAAATTAAAATAAAAAGTTAACGAATTCCCATAAAAGATTAAGAACTTCTATAATTAATTTTGATTAATGAAGTTAAGTTAGATCATTATAAATTAAGTATACGAGAGAAAAACGAGATAAATAAAAACACAAAAAAAATAATAGAATTTGAAGTATCTATCAGTATTTGAACCTTTATTATTTTTTTATTTTTGATAGTCATTTTACTTTATAATTAACATGTATTTGTGATTTAAAATCATATAAAATTTCTACTATATCTTAAACTAAATAAGATGAATATATGTGACCTTCAAAGCATATATGTACCTTTATTTTAGTTTGTTGTTTCATAAGAAACAATGACAATGGTGTGCAAAGCTTGTTGTATTTAGGTTTATTATGTTTTTTTATTCTGTTGTCTGAAAAAAAAAGGTCTTCGATGTGATTGAATTGCTATATTGCTTTTGGGGGCCTTATTCCTATATATATTTGTAGTAATTATTTATTCATATAAATTATTGCAATTTTTTACTACTTTACTAGATCTTACGATCTCGATCCGATCCTACGATCCGAATCCGACAGACCCCAGAAACGATACCTGCGTGGATCCCGATCATTAACAACTTGAGTTCACGAGCTAGTCAATTTAGGTAGATGGAACACACATGTCTCCATTTCCCTCCGGCTTAGAGGCATTAGTCTAAACCATCCATATCAGGACATAACGGCTCGGGTCCATCATACCATATAGAAAAGACCGATCTCGGGTTCTTCAATGCATTGTAATACACAATGGCTCATCATTTCAGATCAAACACAGATTTATAACCGTATGTGAAGCACATGAAAATGTGAAACTCATGCAACAGATGCCAAAAAGTTAGAAAACAGAGCGAAATGAAAACAAACTGCCCTGAGCAACTGCACGTGGGCATCCACTTCCACACATGCAAGGAACCTCACCGCACGTTCTAATTAAAGCAGAAGCAAAGTTGGAAAGGCAGGGGAAAATGTCGCCGCGCGTGTGGGAATAGTGATTAAACCAGTCCGAAAATCTGC